AAAAGAGCATAATAAGGGCAACTTTATGGGAGAGGAAGCGGGAACACTGTCGTCACCAGAAAGTATAAGCCAAACAATAAATAAGACAGCAATCAGGACCACTTAGCTGGGAGAGGGTGCGGGGACACAGCCATAACCAGCAACAAGTTGACACAAACCTGTCCGTCGAGGCTCTGCACAGCGCACAGCCGGCCACAGCTCCTGGAGGACGCGTTAACAACCCGTAGCTCCGACTGTCAGTCGCGAAGCTGCACGCGGCCAGCTGCTTGCAGAGAAATCCCTCATATCAAACGTTCAAACCAGAACGCTGTAGGCTACAAGAATGTAGCCGCGGTACTCTCGCGAAGCGAGAAGATGAAAAGGAACCGATCCACTAATGACGCCGGCCTATGTAGCCGTAGTCACGTGGGTCACAGGTGACTTTGTTGTTATTGGTACTCGAACTGCGCATGCGTGCGATGGACATATCCAGTGCTGAAAGCACCGCCTCTGGCGGTCAGTAGGGACGAAATAGAACTCATAATATACTCAACAAAAACCGGGGTGCCTGCAGGGAGAAGCAGAGAGAGCACAGAGAGGAGCAGAGAGGCTTTAAATAGCTGCAGGGCACCAGACCCAGGTGCCCTGAGTTACTGCAATCAATGCAATCACAAATCACAACAGCACAGACAGGACAGCCACCTCCTCTCTACTGATGAACCCACAGGGGCATCACATGCCCATATAGGCGGAGCACCCCGTTCCTGACGTCAGAACAATTTCAAATCTGCATCAGTCTGTATCAGATCCGTTGCAGCCCCGTTTTTAGAGATTTGGATATGGAGGAAAAGAGAGAGGCTGAGAGGGTTGTGTTTTCTGACACTCGGTGAGTTCCCTGACACACCAGGGACACATATTCATGTATAAAAGACGTACAAAAGTGCATTTTGCATGATAGGTCCCCTTTAAGTTCTGAAAATACATTTATTTTTATTTTAATGAAGAATTGGAAAACTTAAAAAAAATAAAGGTTTATCCAGATGTAGAGTCATGTCCTAGAATGTTATTGGCCCATGCGGAAAAGAAAGCTTGTATTACAAACCCTCTGAAGCTTGCAAAAGACTAATAATATTATTATAAATCCATTTAGTAATGGCACATGTTAAGGCATGCCTGTCAAGTCCATTTACCCTACCAGCACTGTAAGAAAGAATTGCTCACTTATTACATATACACTGACTCAACGTTGGTCCTCATCTGTAACTACTTTCCATATATAGCATGTGTAATTTTCAAATTGAGGATTTTCCATATACAGGGTAAAATTACTGTAACTGCTGACTACTGCTAAATTCAGAGGTCTTGTGAGAATAACAAATTAGGAGAAACATAATATTATGATGTAATGTTTTTGGCAGCGACTGATTTCCAACCACCCAACCTGTAATCGATCTACACAGACACAAAGGCAGCTACAGTTTGTATTCAAAGGGACAGTTTGCCCCCGAAAATACATATGTTTTCTTTTACATTTAGTGATTTTTACCAATCTAGATCAAGGGTTAAAGATACTGCATGTCTGCCTTCTTTTGACAACATTGTAGTGAAAAATATCTATGTCCTGACTCCTGACTTTGGGACATTTTCAGATGATGCAATTTAACACATCTTTTCACCTGTTCCATTTGTGCCGTTCTCATCCTCGTGGTCGGAGCCGTTCTCCACTGGGTAAGGACTGAAAGGACTCTCCTCCTTCTCACCTGTGCCTCCTTCTCCTTGGAGCTCTTCCACATCCTCAAATGCATGATACACCCACTGACACTGGGGGAAACATTAGGTATAATTAAAATGTGCAAAAAGTCATTATTGGAAATCAAATAAGGACGTAATCGAGGAATAAGTACGCGGAAAGAAAGAAAAGAGCAAAATAATGGATATTTAGCTATGCAAATGTATCTGTAAGTTTACTTTGTACACACAATTTTGAAGGGAACAATCTTAGGACATTGACACTTTACACCCGACAAGGAAATCAGGGCCTAAACCCGGCAGTGCAGTCAGCCACATCGACAACATCCTTGTAATTTATCCTGCTGTTAAATCGACCGGCAAACATTAACTGGAAGTTCAAAACAGGGGCTGCTCAGCTGAGACTGTTCATTGGGGTTTGCCAAAAGAGTAGGCCAGGCTAAATAAACCTAAACAAAACAATGTGATTTAAGAGAGCAGGACATCCTACTCTGGGAAATACTGCCTGGAGTCTTGGACTGCTGCTGTAGGAAACCACACAAAGCTTTGCAGTTTAAAAGTTGGCAATGTATGGGGTTCAAACACTAGTATCCACTAAAAATAAACCTCTTTAAAAGATAATTCCACCAATAACAATCTTGGCAGCAGGAATGGGTGAAGATTCAGTGGAAATGAGTTGTTCATTGGTTGCCCTGGGCTACTTCTTCTCTCTGGCAGGATTGCATCTACAAGTGAAAAATGTTCAACTCTCACTTATTGGCCTGCAGCGACAAAGTGTCAGCCAGTCATTTATGTTTGGGATCACAGGGCCACCCACTGTTGGAGCCAAGATGAAATGACAAAGAATGTCGCAAAACCGCAGACGACAAGATTTTAAAGAGCAAGTGTGTAGTGAGGTCAGTGAAATCCTTAAAGTTATGAATACATTTAGATTATTTTCAAAGTCGCTTGGGTATTTGTAGCTGTCACGCTAATGCTGCTTTATGTAGTGTCTCAGAGCAGGAATGTCTGGGTCACTGGGGTTCTTCGGTCTCTTAGCTCATCAAATGTGAATTTAGTGAGCTGTCGCACATTGTTGAATGGCATTCCAAACTGTAAGTGATCAACTACTTTGTGGAATTACTTAAATAAAGCACTTAAGGATTACCGCGGTACATAGGGAGTCATAACAACACACACAAGGACTGTAAAAGCTCAAGTTAAATGACCTTTTCTATAATTGTTCTCAATAAATAAACAGTTAAGAAAAAGTGTGTGTGTTTTTCACGTGTCCCCTCACCGCTTGGGGAGGCTCCTGGTGAGTGTGCTGCGCGCTGAAGTGCTCCAGGACCCCTTGGTAGTCGCTGTGGTTCATGTTGTTGCCGTTGACCTTCTGGATGACCTGTCCAGGCTGAAGCCCCGCCCCCGCCGCTTCCCAGCCTGCAGCGTGTTTAAAGAGTCAAAGTCAAATCAGTGAAACTGTACACAACAGGTTCTGAAAACATGTAATTTACGCCGGGAAGGAGTTCAAAGTGTTGTTTCACCCATAAAAATCTACAAGTTAACTTTTTCTTGTGTTTTCGACTCAATTCCCCTATGTGTGTACACAACCTCGCCCACTGTGTTCCTCCAGGAAAATAGAAAATTACTCAGTTCGATGCTGTTACACACCGTCACTAATAATAGCATTGCAGCCTGGAAGTCCAATCAACACCTCAAATCATCGTACTCTCCGGGCCTAAAAATACCAGCGCTGGCATCACTTCCCACCCAGGGTGCCAGCAATTACCTAACTCTGCCATTACCTGAGCCACGCATGGATATCACACAGGGACTGATTGAGGGAAATAAAAGGACACAACTGGAGAATATCAGATGGAAAAACGTGTCTTGTACACCAGCAGAGCCATGAGTGATACAAGAACTTAGGAAAGAGAAGGGAATGGGGGGAAAGTGAGAGGGGGAGTAAGTGGAGAAGTCCCCCTGCCGTAATAAAGTAAAACCACCAGATCACATTCCTGCTTTGCACCAACTGGCGGCTCCTCTCCTCGCTGTTTTCTTTGCATGTTTCCTCTCCTGCTTCTGTCTGGTTAACACATTTGGTTTCATCAAATTGCCGTTTCGAGTCAGTCTAGTTGCTTACAACATCTGGTTATGAGGTTGTAAGGACAGAGCAGGAGGAATGAGAAGAGAGAACAAAAGTGAAGCGGTGCTTTTCAGTTACCTATGCCTCTCTGATCACCGGGCAATGTGTGTGTGTGTGTTTTAAAAGTAGAGTTTAGTCTATTAGGGGTTTGCACCCTGTCAGCAAGCTGTCTGGCTGACAAGTGGCCATAAAAGCCTAATAGAGGCTCACTAAAAGCAGAAAGTAACAGGTGGTTGGAGGCTAGAGTTACCTCATCTTTCCCTCCAATTCACTCAGAATTATTTGTCTTCCTGACACAGTGAACACTTTCAAAGCGTCTGCTGACACAGGCACTGCAATAACAAGCTCAAAGTCCCGTAAACCTGTCAACAGATCTGCAGGTCGTAACCGAAATATATGTCTAAGTGAATTCAAGAAATATTATTTTAATTATATTTCGCCGGGGGCTGTGAACTGTTAAATGAGTTAAGAGATCACTTTCCGTTAAACATCCTGTAATATGAAATAACTATATTATATGCTCTCTTGTGACTTCCAAGGTCTAGTGTTACTTTTTTCTAAATGTTTTGGTATGAGAGCTTATTAAAGAAGGAACACAACTCATTATAATGAGGATTCAATTGGGTGATCAAAAAGTATTAAAGTGTGGGATCATGGGAGTTTATTATAGCAGTAAGCTTCTCCAAATTATTTACTGAGGTCTCTTTCTCACCAAGACAATAAAAACCGAAGATTAAAACCAAAATTTAAAAAACAATCTTGATTAATCCTTCAAATTTGATGACGATCTCTTGGCTAATTTCTTTGATTACCTAAGAACTAGATATCCAATTACTAAAATCACCTCATGCGGTAAAAATGTAAATCTTTGAGACCATTATTTCAAAAAGTGTAATTTGAAATAAGTGTAAGTGTAAAACTGTGACTTGAAACTGGATAAAAAGTCCATTTCAGGCTGACAACCACAATGATGACAAATGCACCAACGGTATGCAATGCTATAACAAGCATCAAAATAAAACATACTGTTAACTTATAAATAAAATATGGCTTGAACTAGATTTAAAATGTTTTGGATATATTTGGAATAATGTATTTAGACACCTGAACAAAATATATAAGATAGATCTAGACATTGTAAAGGAAAAATGCCACACATTATACACTTCAGTGCTATCTTGCTTGTTATCCTCCACACAGCACTAACAGAAGTTGTCCTGAAATGAATTCACTACCTGTTAGACCTATACCATTTGGTCAAAAAAAAGTCCCTTCAGGTGAAACCACTCACCTTTCCTGACAGCGAGCACATGTGGAGGGGAGGAGCCTCGCAGTCTGAAGGAGAGGCTGTCTGGGTTGTCAGGGATCTTCACAATCCTGGATGAGAAAAGACCAGTCAGACCAGGGTGCACTTAAGTGTGTGTGTAGGTGTGTGATTTGAGTGTGTGTGTTCCCTTACTCCTTGGCCTTGGTGGCAACTAGCAGACGGAGGGAGCGTCGCATGCAGAAGGCCTGGCTGATCATGGTCTCCACCTCGGAGAAGGGCCGCAGGAACAGCAGGTCCTCGTTGATGGTGAAGATCTTCCTGCTCACCTGCAGACCCGCCATCTGGACGCACAGACAGGAAACAGAATGTGGTTATTTTCAGCTCCCTCCATTAGCCCCGGTTTGCACAGTTAAGAGTTTCAGGTGGGGATCGCATTGATGGATTTTCACTCTGGTGTAACAGAGACCGAAAGCATTAGGATCAGATAAAGTATGATTCAGGTTTTCAAATCACCGTCTAGTGCAGGGGTGGCCAACCCGCGGCTCTTTGCCTAGTTTCATGCGGCTCTTCAGTTCATATCGAATTTTATATGTGTGAGTTTGGGGGAGAGACACTGACTCCTGACTAGTGTTGCACGGTGTACCTATACTTGAAAGGTATACCGCGATACCCTGCCGTTAAAAACGTTACTATTCCTCCGTTTCATTAGTATGGTACTTTAAGAATGACGGGGGAAAGTACTCCGGTGAGAAAGCGCTGTTTTAATAAGAGCCGTGTGTGTTCAGCGCTCTCAGGGTCGGCTCCAGAAAAAATCGAATGGGGGGGCAATCATTTACCACGGGGGGGCACACACATGCTGTAAAGTCTCTTGACACACACACACACACACACACACACACACACACACACACACACACACACACACACACACACACACACACACACACACACACACACACACACACACACACACTCAAAAGTGTGTTATGTAGCACCCTCTGTTGTTGTTACCTATTTCCGCCAGCACAACACACACACACACACACCACACACACACACACACACACACACACACACAACACACACACACACACACACACACACACACACCACAAAAGTGTGTTATGCAGGGCACCCCTCTGTTGTTGTTATCTATTCCGCCAGCGGGTCATATTGACCCAACCCTTTTCATCATAAAACATGACGTGTTGGCCTATGCAAACGCCTTTTGTCTACTGCGGTTCGCACTACTGACATGTAGTGAATAAGGCTTGTTTGAGACAAGGCGAGACCTGCCGCAATTTCGAATCAACGTTTGCTCGTGAAGCGTTGCAATGATGGTTAGTCATTTGCCCGACTTGCTCTGGAGGCTCGCTCACATGAGACGTTTGAAATCTCGCGGGACAAAGACAGCCGCACCTTGAGAGCAGAGGCAGCGGCGAGGCGCCGCAGTTTCCTCTCCACGGGCGCGGAAGCGAAATCTTTGATGGGCAAACGACTCGCTGGTATCTCGATGTTGAGCGGGCTCCATTGGTGGTTTTTAACACCACCCCATGCCTGCTGATGAAGCTCTCCATTGGCTTCGGCAAAAGTTTGTTTGTTGTTTTGTGTCAGTTTTACGTCGCCACTTCCATTCACATTTTGCATCATTGTTCCGCAGCAATGTTTAATCAATTATCATGAAATTTAATATCTATATATGTTATACTATACTTGCACTGCTTACCGTTTTCATACTTTAATATATCTTAGGCAAAATATTCATACACACTGTTAATCACTGCTCACAGGCT